GAAGAAGAAGAAGAAGAAGAAGAAGAAGAAGAAGAAGAAGAAGAAGAAGAAGAAGAAGAAGAAGAAGAAGAAGAAGGTTGCAGCAGCTGACCTCTGACCCCACAGAGTCGCATTCTTTGCGTTTCTGCAGCACTTAAAGCCATGACGTGTGCGTGGTGTGCGTGTTCCATGATGCGCACTCTCCACTCTAAATGTGATTGATTGTAAACCTGTGCACCTCTTGGTGCCGTAATGTTTACATGTTCTGTAAGTTTCAGCCAGTTTTTGTGCGTAAAACCAGGAACACGTTAGTGATTCTTGTTACGTCCAAAGGTGATTACGTTATCCCCACCTCCCTGCTGATGTCTCCTCTGACTGTGAAGGCCTGAACTGCAGATTATGACATAGTCTTGTCTTGTCTCTTTGTCTCACAGGTGGAAACAGTGACAAAAATCAAGCTTTTGTGTGGACCCCGCAGCTGGATTTCCCCCCCACAGCAGCGCGCAGGAGGGAGAAGATGAAAAAGGTGACCCACGTTTTTTTTGGGAGATATTTGCACCAAGGGAGCAGACTGGCAAAGAGAGACTCCCCTTCTGTCCTCCTGCTCGGATTCATCCCAACAAAAGGTAAACCGCACGAGCCAGTTAGGGGGATGACGTCAAAATCCAAATCACCCTTTAAATTGCGCGTAATTATCCCAGCTGCTCGGTGCATGTGAGCAGGAGTTGTGTCTGCAGAGGGTCTCTTGGTGCTGCCCGGTGCTCCTCTCCCCTCTCCTGGATTCCAACTTGTTGCTGGATTTAAAACATAGTTAAGCTGCGTCTTGGGCGTCTTTTGTTACCTTATTAAGGATGTTTTAGGTTTGTTTCACAAAGAGAACAAAATGTACTTGAATGCTCTCCCCTCTCCAAGTTGCACCCTCGTTTACTTGATTTTAGTACTGATGAGTGGTCCTGTATTGAGATTTTTTTTTATTACTGTCGTGGCCAAAATGTTTAAATTGAAGCATTTGATTTGACAGTAAAGCTACAATTAAATCAGATCACACAACGATGTGACATATCCTGATCAGTTAGTTTTAAACTAAAATTAAATCAGATTAAAACTGGTTGTTCAGGATACATCACATCACTGTGTGTAAAACTGTCTTGTAATTGGAAATGTGTGCTTTTGTGGCATTTTGAGAAAAAAAATCTGCCTCATGCTTTTTTGCTTTTGGAGACGTGAAGTCATCTTCCATCTTCCAGCGTGACATAAGCTTTATGTGCTCTTTAATATCAGGTGGAGTGAAGAGCAGATGTAACTTGGTGTTTTTTTAAAGACTGATTCTGTATCTGGTGTTTAATGATTGATCAAGTTAAAACAAAGCAACATTAAGAGCTGATGACTTGTTGTGTGGCAGGTCAGTGACGGTGCGTTCAGGCCACGTCTCTGTTACAGAAAGCGATGCTCAGGTTCCACAATCTCGTGCTGAGAACAGCAAGAAAATCATGTTCTTTTAATGTGTTTGTGAGTTGAATTCAAAACATATTGTAGCTTTCCTTTTGTCTTACAAATAAGCAGTGAAAACATGAATTTCTGTTGTTTTGTGAACGTGTAAGTTGCAAGAGTTGCAGGAACTTAGCTGGATTTTATTTAATTTATGAGACTGACGGTTTTGTGAATGTAGAGTTTGTGTGGTTGGAATCTAAGAAATCCCAAATTCATTTAATAAATTGTTTCATTTAAATCAGGGGTCTGCAACATTTACAATCAACATAGCATTTCTGCCCCTTCTCCCACTAAATAATATTTGTTGAGAGCCATAAAATGTACTTCAAGTATAAAGTAAAGATAACACAACTCATTAAGAGTTGTAAATATTAATAATATTAAACATAATTTGTTGCACCATGATATAAAAGATTTACACATTGAAACTGTTCACATGTATTATTAGTATGGTTACCTGTTAGAACAAAGGAAATGACTGAAGTGGAAAAAACATTTAGTTTTAACCCACTTTGATCAAACACTGTATGGAAATTTTTAATAAAATGAATACAAGCATTCCACTTGGAAATAATAACATATTTTCATTTTAACAAAGTATTAATGTGACTTTTAAAACATCCAGATTTTTGGATATTTATTTGTGATATTTTTCCTCTAATAAAGACAGAGTCCTTTATGTACTTCAACATTATTATCATTTTTTTTTATCAAAGGCAAGCTTTGCATTTTGATGACCTTTAGTAGTAATATGTAAAAAAAAGCTTGTCTCATCTGTGTTAAAAAATTCTGATGGTTTTCAGAGAACGATTGCAAATTATGACCAGAAGCTGGATTACAGAAGTGGCTAACAAGCTCACAAGCTGTATCTTTTATTGTATCGTTTTGTCACAGAAAACTTGATTACATAAAATTGGATAAAAGCTGATAAAACTATATTTTCTGCTAAATTTATCAGAACAAATATGGTTCCTCTTCTTGTTATTATTGAGTGAAAGCTCTAAAGAGTCTCTGCAGAGGGACCAATGAGCCACTTGTGGCCCCAGAGCCGTAGGTTGCAGACCCCTGACCTAAATGAATCAGACTGTATTTTCATTTGATGGTTTCTTTACAAAGTTTGACAGAATGTTTTGAACCTCCAGTTAAAAAAAACAACTACAAACATTGTTTTCTCACTGCAGAGTTGTGCAAATAATTTCGGTCAAATCCTAATTTTTTGGGGGGAATATTTTGCTGATAAGAAATCACTTTCATGTGGGGTGAGGATCAGTCTTTAACCCGCATTTTGCGTTTGGACAGTGGTGTTAAAACTCCAACACAAATCACTCATGAATTGTGTGAAAAAAAAAACAGAACACCTAAACTTTAAACGTGTCAGAAAATGGAGACTCGGTTCACTGAGCTGCACCCTCACTTCTGTCGTAACGCAAGTAAAATATCACATTTAGCTATTTCCTTGTGAAAATTTATATTTATATTTCTTGTAAGTGGAACACACAAGTATTTAATTCACTTTCTGTTTTATTGAATGAATTCTTCATCAAGTTACTGTGCATAAATCAGGTGATGTTGCCCTTTTTGCTTAAGTTAAACTGCAGCTTTCCATGATGTTGTCGAAGCACGATTCACATTTGGGTGCAAAACAGTGGGGTTAAAAACGTGCAACAAATAACATGAGGTGTTTTTGGCTGCTTTTAAACATGGCTTCCTCACCGTTCAGAAGGACATTAATTTAACCCCCTCCCCTTCATTGTGTGATGTGTGTTTTAAAGTAAATAAAACATCTGCGTCCAGACGTCAGCGCCTCGTGCCTTATGATAAATCACAGCATGTTCTGAAATATCCTCTGACAATCGCTGGTTTTGTTTAATACAAGCTACCAGTGAAAAGCTATATTTAGGCAGATGACGTCATGGTTAAAACTGAGACCAAGGGGCTTTGAAGACACAAGCAAGAAAAAAGGCAGGATGGAAGATCATCTGCTAATAACACAACACACACACAACAGATGATTGCAATTTTTTTAGTAATAAAAACAGATATCGCTCCTTTACGTGTGTCTCACGGAGGATGAAATCATGCAGGACACCACCCGTTCAGTTTCAGCTGAGGGGGGCCGCTCAGATCTGCAACTTGAAACCTCACCCTGGGTTTGACCAGGGACCGTGTGGGGGGGTTGCTTTTCCCTCAAACTCATCAGATCTATTAGGAGTAGAAACGTAAAACACACACAAGACCTTTGCGAGCCGGAAAATGCATAAATGTTATAAAGAAAACATCAGTCCAGGAAAAAATGTTTAGACGAGTGTATCTGGAAGAAAATGCACACAAATCAATGTCCTGGTAAATTCCAGGAAATGTGTGCAAGACGTACGGAGGATGGGGTCTGCTGGGTCAGCGTGACATGACTTATTATTATGATTTTTATGTAAATGAACATTTGTCCTTTCAATCAGTAATGCAATATACTGTTTACCTTGTGTTTGAAAAGGACAATGCAGCTGCTCAGTCTAAAACAAATCTGTATGTTTTTATTCTTTTTAAAGATGCATAAATGCGCAGTTTGAGCAAGAATCAGTTCAGGTTGAGCCTCCAAAGGCTTACATATAGAGCAACACCGTCACTCAGAATGTCACTGTTTAATACAATAAGTTCATACATTTTAATTTGAGTCAGTTCTATATTTGTATTTATTCCTGCTGGAAAAAAAATAGAAGCCTCCATGAATAAATAAATAAATAAATAAATAAATAAATAAATAAATAAATAAATAAATATTTTATTCATCTCTAAATTTACATACATGTGATGCCTTGTATGATCTGAGAATGATGAATAAACACAATGAAGTGAAATAATTATTTTGAGTTGACATAAAGTCTCCGATCAGCCTTGTTTCGGAGCGCAGCTGACTGAGTGACAGGAAGGAAACATAAACTCACATTCACACCACGACTTATTTAAACTCAGATTTGTTTGTCAGTATTACAGTCTAATGGGTTGTTCCATCCATCTACCCCAGCCTCCATCTATTAATAAAGCTAATATCCTGTTTAATTTAATTGGTATTTTTTAAGCTATAGCATCATTATGACAGACTGAAGAACAGAAGGCAGATGTAAATGGTAAACAGCTTGAACTTTTATAAAGCTTCATCAAGTCCCGACCCCCAAAATAGAAATATTGAGTGTTGGTTCCAGGTGTGAAAGTAGTTTGGAAGCATTTGTCCTTGGTCAGACATTTTTAGTGCTAATTTTTATCGTGTTTTACTTATAATCCTAATCCAGCACAATGTTTCCCAAACTTGTCAGATTTAGACCCACAAAACAGCGTCAGCAGAGACCTGTGCCCCCTAACTATTCTTTGGGGGGATGCAATTTATCAGGTCAGTTAAACTAAGGCATAGGAACACTATTCATGCTACTTTCATCAATTTTTAAGTGACCTTTGTACCAACCAAGTAAAAAAAAGTTGTTAGTAGTCATTTTGAAATGTAATTAATTCTGAAAATCTTTTTCAAGACCCCGCCTTGAAGTTTTGTGACCCACAGTGGGGTCCCAACCTCAACTTTGGTTATCATATTAGCTCAAAATGCTCACCTGTTGTCTTTAGTCATAAGCTAAATTGTCTCTGGTATTTAAAAAAATGAAATGTTGCTTTATTACTTTGTAAAATGTGCCTTGAACCACACTGGGTTGAACCTGCGGCTCATTGGAAGGATCTGGATGTTTCGTCTGTGTGAAAGGAGCTTCCTCAATTCACAAAGCAGGGCAAAAACTAAACCATGATATCCAACAAACTCTCTGCGGGTCTGATGTAAACTCTATGGTCAAACAAGCAATTTATTATAAAACAAAAATGTCCTATTTTGACTCAATATTTGTAAAAATGACTGTTATCGCTATTTCTATGCTGGCTGATGCTGGTTAGCTGTGGTGTCCATTTTGAACTGGACGGACTGATTAAGTTAATCATTTGTATATGTGCATCCGTTTATTACTTTGTAGAAGTTTCACTAAAACCCATCTAGTAATTTATGAAATCTGATGTTAAAACACAGACAGAACTGACTCCAAAAACAAAGATCTTGTTCAGTCTGTTATCTCTCAGAATGTGCATTTGGTGTCAGTCTGAG